CATCATTTCCGGACCATAGACGGCAGCTTAAATGACATGCAATTAACCAGCCGGCGTCCCGAAGTTGGGCATCGGTTCATAACATTTGTTTATCTCTCTCGTGGCAGTGCCAGACACCAGCCCCAAGTGGTGGAATGCGCGACATGCGCCTCTGGTCAACGAAATGACAGCAACCCGTGGCCTCTCGCTCCACGTTATGCCTAGCTCTCGGCTATCGGTCGCGATTCGTTACCAGGAGTCTCCTTACGGAATGCCTGAACGGAAAGTGACCGCATGCTGTCGACAGGTCCCGGCTGGCGAGTTCCCGTCTATTCTCATTGTGCCGGTATTCGCTTGACTCTCTTCTCTTCCCCATCTCCTCAGCAGACGTCCCCTGGAGCCGGCTGCTCAAGGTCAGGGTCACGGCCGCGAGCTGCTGTCCAGCTCTGCGTCATTATAGGGCCTTGAGCCCGGCCGTCTGCCCGGCCCGCATGACTGGGCGTCTTGGGCGCCCAGCTCCTCCGCCAGCGCCGGCAGCAGCTACGAACACCGCCGAGCGCAAGCCGTGTTTATTTCAGCAAAACGCTCGTAGATTCGAAGTTAAATTGCATACCAAAGTTTGAGTGGGGCGCTGCCCCCCCCCCCCCCTCCCCATCTAATCCCACCCCCATCCGCTTCGGATACTATGGCGGCCTGTTAACCTCGGCGAGGTAGATAGACAAAATTATTTCTGATGGTTCTGAGAACTTAACACGCGCTCGGGCGAGGGGGTTAAATTGGCCGCCCCGAAGGTTTTTTCCAGAATGGATTTCGAACGACGCGGCGCAGCCGCGCCAAATTTTGTATAGCTTTAGACGAACGAATTGCAGATCGTTCGGCATCAAAAAGTTATATGTACCTTATAAGGTCGCTGACCTACGTCAGGTCAAACTTAGGCTATGGATTCAGCGAAGTCAGTTTCTAGGGAATCGTTCAATCTGATGCAACAACGGAGTGTTAGACGAGACCATACATCTCTGAGATACTTTTTTAGCCAACACAGCAACCGAATGAACAAATTCCATTGACCTAAGGTCAGTTTTGAAAGTCGGACCAAGGTCAAAGCCAATCTATCGTATTACTCTAGGGCTTGCTATATAGGGTATTTTCTGGTGCTCATTTCGAATTTATTGATAACAGGAACCGCATTATACATATTCCATGCACTTCTCAAAGGTCAGAAAACGTCACTAACCAAAAATGACGCAGGCCAACATTTTTTTTTTTTTAGGAACATACCGCCTAGCGTAATCTTTGTCAATTATTCAAATGCAAACCTCAAAGCAGTCTTGCATGGTTTTGGTCATCATGACATTAAAAAGGTCAAACAAGGTCACTGACTTTAACTGCGACAGCGAGCGTCAAAATGGACGAAACTGATACATTAAGAAATTGTGTCAAAACAAACGTGCCAATGCCAAACTACGGGGCTTCTTTAATTTTTCAAAATCGCTCTTGATCCCTAAGTTCAAATTATATGCCAAATTGCACAAGCTTACTCGTTTTGCCGGCCCATGGCAGTCTCAAGGTCCGTTATAGGACTTGTATGGTGAGCGTAGTATTCATTGTGATCGAAGTTAGCATTCAGAAAATATCATCCACCCTGAAGTCTGACTCGGGTTATCTTTTGACACCGGTGAGATTCCTGTGCACCGGTAGCTCAGCATTTTCTGAGGTTCTCCTTCATTTAACCCTGCGTTTTACGTTGAATGTCAACGTCTATCGGGTCGAACATCAATGTCATGATGTAAGTCTGTTCTAGCTGTCTTGTGAAATCGTTTTTAGCGGCGAATAGCAATGCGTTTTGGGGTACGTGCGTTCTGTCCTTTTTTGAACTCTACTTATCGGTCGCTAATTCTGCCTGGAAGGTCAACTGTCATCATAATGAAGCATTTGCTCACCCTCGAAATCGATAGACTGTCTGTTGGGAGCGAGTTGGGCGCAAAGTATCATGAAGTTTTGACCGTCTGGCATTCTTCGTCGTTTAAGCTTTGATTTAGTCTTGAAGGTCAAAACTTATCAGGCTAAAAATCGTGCTCAGCCCTGAGCTTGGTTCCGTCCATCTTTGAAACTGGGGCTGCTTTTTCACCAGTATATGGCAATCCTCGTCCTTTGACCTTGAATATTAACCCAAAGCGTAAGAACTGCGCCAAGCGGACTCGAAATTTCATGATAGACTCGATGAGGACTGCTTCTGAAAGAGTTTTGGAAAATCAAAGGCCGTACTGGAATCCGAATACGGATGCGTCGCCTAAAATTACGGACATTCGTGTGCCGCCGATGAGCGCGGCCGGAACTCCAGGGACGATGCAGTGATGTGCAAACCATGTGCCTTAATGCCGAGCGGAGGCGTGGCAAGCTCTACCTAAAAACTCATTTTGTCTCCATGACATCAGGGAGTGAACCGCATACGGCCTGAATGAAAATAGGGCGGTGACCGACGGGCATCCGCACTTTTCTCGCTCATACCTCTATTCTGGAGGCAGCTCGTTGAGTTCTTACCCTGCCAGGAAGCGCCAGCATCGCAGTGAACGTCATTTTGCCTGAAGGCAGGACTTTACACTGGCTTTAAGAACGTCGTGCTAATACTTGAGAAAAGAAGCACCATAAACTGATGGGGATATCGCTCACTCAAACCTGAGTCCAACACTTGTTTATCGTACACAGATTCCGTGCCGCATGTGTTTTAGTCGGGCGAGTGGCGTCGCTGCTCAGCGGGGCAGCGTCGTATCACCAACCGACACTAGCGCCACCACGGTCGCCGCTGCCGGACGTGCGGTGAGAGCGGGAAGAGGGAGGGGCGGCCGGCTCCGGCAGGACCGGCTGCAGTCGGCCGGCTCAGCCCGCCGGGGGTTGGTTGGTTGGTAGAGCGAGGCAGCCTGTAAGCGTCCGTCGGCAGTGTCAAGGGTGCGATCGGCGGAGCGCGAGCGGCGAGAAACGTTGAACCCGCCAGGCGCAATCTGTCAGATATTTCGAATGAGCGATGATGATGCTGGTTTCAGATGAGCCGACGGCTGCCACGCACAACACATTCGTCGAAACTACTTTCAGTTACATGTAGACACCTGGCAGCAGAGACACTCCTTGGGCAGCCCACATTTACATTCCAAGGAACCACTGAACGGTAACTGCAATACCAGTCCTTGGCTTTGACATCGCAAGGTCTTCGGATGGTGTGGGCCCATACGACCCCTAAACAGGGACATCTAATAACATCGCAACAGCTTTTGTTGACAACTTTACATTGACGCGGTGGACTGACAGATGTAAAAATGTACATGAGCGTCGTCTCTATCACTGTACCGGATTTGGCAAAATTCCGGACGAAGTCTGTGCCGGCAGGCAGCCCATAAAGCTCCCTTGTCAATCAAACGGGATCGGTGACCCTTGCCGAGCTCGGCACGCACGGCACCACCGCAAACCACCAGTCGATACTAGCGCCACCACGGTAGCCGCTGCCGCCGCCGGGCGGGCCGAGAGAGGCGGGCGCCGCGCAAGCGGCTCGCGCCGGGCCGACTGCAGTCGGCTGGGTTGGCCCAGTCGTGGAGGGAGGCGCGCGGGGGTGCTGCATTCGTCGGGGCACCGGCAGGTGAGAGGCCGGCACGGCGCCACTGGCGGAGCACGGGACGGGCTTCAGAGACTGCAGCCAAGGACGGTGGGTAGATGGTTGCTTAGCAACACT